CCTCAATAATGAAGGGTTGGCTGAAATATGGTAGTGCTAGCACCGACGTCGTCGTCATGGCTGCCTTAAGTTTGTCGAAGGCAGTGGAGGCTCTATCCGACCATTGGAAGACATCTTTTTTTAGTAAGTAAGTAAGTGGTGCACTGATCTTTCCATAGTTTTTCACGATCTTGCGGTAGTAACCTATTAAACCCAAAAAGCCATGTAGCAATTTTATGTTCCTCGGGGTCGACCAGTTCTGCATTGCTTCTATTTTGGAGGGGTCCACCATCACACCTTCCTCTGATATGATATGCCCAAGATATTCTATCTTTTGTTGAAGAAAGCAAAAATTCATAGTGGTCGTTGTGTGTTCGAAAGGCGATTTTTGATATGCCTTTTTCACACACTCGTATTTGATGATACCCGGATCGAAGGTCCAGCTTTGTGAAGATTTGTGCTCCCTTTCATCTAGCAATTCATCTACTACTGGAATAGGGTATTTATCCTTGATAGTTATGTCATTGAGAGTTCGGTAATCAACGCATATTCGCCATGGTGCGTCCTTCTTGCGTACAAGTAGCACCGGTGAAGAATAGAGGCTACAACTTGACCGAATAACTCCTATTTCAAGCATCTCTTTTACAATCTTTTTTATTTCATCATTCTAGAGATGTAGATACTGATATGGCTGAGTATTTGCTGGAGGTTTGCCTAGAAGAATCGTTATATAATGATCATGTCGACGGGTAAGAGATAGATTGTGCGATTCGTCAAATATATTTGAAAATTCAGCAAGCAAAGGAAGTAGGTTTGGATCTTCAAATTCTATTGACTCTCCCTTAGTTTGCTGCTCAAGTTGTACCAAAAAGCCTATGCATGCTTTATGCAAAACCTTCTCCATTTGTTGTGTGCAAATCATCATTACGTCGCCCCCACGTTTCCCGTGCAATATCACATGTTTCTCCTTACTGTAAAATTTCATAATTAGTTGCATAAAATTCTAAGAAACATCACCTAATGTCATCAACCATTTAATTCTGAGCATGGCCTCATGATCATCAAGAGGGAGGAGGAAGAAATATGTAATTATCTCTTGGTCCTGCAGCAACAGTTTCACTCGCGGGCACCTACGATCATACTTCAAAATAATCCGTCCATCGGTGACCTTAACGTCAAACCTGCTACAATTCTCGATAGGTAAGGCCATCTGGACAGCAACCTTACTGTTTAGGAAGTTATTAGTACTGCCCGTGTCGATGAGAACAGTGATCGGTTGTTGTTTGAGAAGGCCTCCAACTTTCATCGTTTGCGAGTTTGATTAGTCAGCTAGTGCATGTACCATAATTTCGGTCGGTTGTGGCTCTTCTTCTGCATCTTCTTCTTTATGTTCCAGGCTCTATTCTGGATGTTCAATAACCTCTTCTTCTACTGGTTCAATCATAAGAAGTCTCCCTTTACTACAGCGATGCTCACGGCTCCACGACTCGTCGCAATGCTAACATAACCCCTTTGCATATCGCTCCCGAAGCTCTTCTCTTATCAACCTTTTTGGTGTAGGGACTCGGTCGATAGTAGGGGGGGTTGAATGCTTCAGTATTGCTGGTTGAGGAGTGACCTTAGTCTTCCGAGCTTCATGGTTCAATCGCTCCTCTTGATGTCGTGCGAAAGAGATGGCTGCCATAAGCGTATACGGTTGTCGCGCTTTAACTTCTCCTCGGATCTCCGGCTTCAAGCCCTCAATGAAGGTCCCCAATAACTGTTTTTGAGACCAATCACGAGTTTGATTAGTTAACCTTTCAAACCTGATTTGGTACTCTTGAATGGTGGAGGTTTGTTGGATCTTTGCTAGTTGTCCGTCAATGTTTTCGTAATTAGTTGGTCTGAAGCGGATCAGTAGTCCTTTGAATTGTCACCATGAAAGGACTCGATAAATATGTTCAAACTAGTCAAACCACTGTACAGCATTCCCTTCAAGATGTATAGCTACAATTTTCACCATAGATGCATCCGCGATTTTGTGGTACCGAAAATATCGCTCCGCGCGCGAGATCCATCCAATCGGGTCTCCTTCTTCCTATCTAGAGAAGTCCACTCTCATGCATGGATAGTTGGGGTCGGTCATAGAGCTTCCTCTTTCTTGGAAGTCATATCTTCGGGCTTGGTGCGATTGGGCAAAGCTCTCTCCTTGATGCGATTTCTTCGGGCTTAGTGGTCGGCCCAATCTGAGTTCGGTAAAGAGCATATGAATCTTATCCTCTATTCGCGCCTCGAATGCTTCGAATTTAGCATTGATTACCTCCTTAGATGTCATAGTATATGCCGCCAAATCTGTGATGTTAAGATCTCTCTTTTGTTGTCGGGTTAAAGGCATGTATTGGTTGAGAGAGGTGATGGTCGAAAGGGTTGGTGGATTGGTGGATGTAGGCTACGATTTAGGCTTGATTTGTGGCTATTTTGGGTGCAGTTTGAAGGTATGGTTTGGTGGAGTTTTAGGGCTGTGGATGAAAGTTTTGGATCTGTGGAAGATGGCAGCAAAGGTTTGATAGAAATCAGTGGAAGTTGTAGCAAGTATATGCTGTCTTGTAAGAGCAGAATTATCATCGAAGAAACAACGGTTTCTCGACGAAATTTCCACCAAAAACTTAAGAGAATTGACAATAAAATCGCAGTTTATATGACAGCAAGGATGTCTAATTTAATCAAAAAAAATTTGGCAGTATAACAACAAGGAAATTGGTGCAAGCCGCGATAGCAAAATTCTCGTCGAAAAATTTTAGCGACTTGGGACAAAAATTTACAGCAACACAAAATCGTTTTTAGAGATGAATTCCTCAATAGATAAATCTTAGATGGAAGCCACGATGATCTATGAAGTATTTAAGAAATTTCGTTCAGAAAAGATTACAAATAGATGGGGTAAGGCAACAATATGCGACTAAATTTATATTAAAATAATTTAATAATAAAATAATAATTATAATAATTATTAAATATTAATCAGTAAAAGAAAAAACTTATATGAGAACTGTAATCATGATAACATATAAATCGAAGAGCCTTTACATCAAAGATAAATATCATTTTATAATTTTAAAAATATATATGAATAACCAAATAAATATCTAAAAATAATAATTAAAATTTATTTATCACGTGCAATCAATAAATCATATGAGAAAACTATAAAAGAAACAATATATTTTTTATTTTTACATAAAATGTTAAATTAAACCAATCGATTTATTTAATTTAGGTATACATAAAATGTTAAATTAAACCAATCAATTTTATTTAATTTGGATAAATATCAACCTAATTAAATAGGCCGATCAAAACCAAAAATTAATCAAAATTTAATCTTTTCTAAATTTGATCGAAACTAAATTCAATCAATCATTAGTTAAAATATAATCATGATCAAATTCAATTAAATTATATTGATCAATTTTATAATTGAAGATATAAATTAAAAATTCTTAATTTTATAAGGGTAAAACAATAAATTTATTGACAGGACATAAACTAGAATTATGAGATTGGTATTGAGTAGAATTATCAAAAGGATTAAAAAAATAAAAATCATAGCGATAAAGATGTAATTTTTCAAAACCCTAAGGGGCATATGTCGCCCTTACGCATGACCACCACCTCTACCCATGGGTGGGCACCACTAGTGTGGCCATTGCTTGCGGGCGGTTACCGCCTGTACGATCGCCGCCTGAGCGCGACCTCTGCCCACATGAGGTTGTGGCTTAAACGCGGTTATCAGTTAAGTGCAACCTCTGCCCATGCATGATCATCGCTATGTGGTCATCGCGTGTGTGCACTGTCACTTGCGCATGGTTACTGCGATGCGCCCAATGCATGACCCGCAACCGTCGCCAGCGTGAATACTGCATTGCGCAATCAATCGCGACGTACGACTCATTGCTTGGTGACCGCCCGCAACTGCTGTTGCTGCTGTGGTGCGCATGCGCTGCCTAGTGCAACTGCTACCACCAACAGATCCGTCATAGCAACCGTACACCACATGGTTATTGTGACTACCATCGGCAACGGTGCAACAACGAAATTGCATAGCAACCAACTTCACGATCATCGAAGATCACATTATAAAGAATCTAACATCGTCCGCAAGCAGGCGACAAGACAAAGTAGATATGAATTTAGATCAACAAAATATACATATTATTTAAGCATCATAAACAAAAATAATGAATCTAACATATTTGATCTTAATAACCTAAGCTCTAATACCAATTGTAAACATAAAATTTATAATATGCTAGATGTAACTCAAAAAAAAATTTATGCCAAGATTAAAGTCAAATAACATTAGATCGAATTTACGATGCATCCTTCGACTCCAAATATTCCTGTTAATGATAGTTTATCCTGTTAATGATAGTTTAGGGAGGTTGAGAGAAAAATCATAATCTCTCAACTATGTCCTCTACGACATATCTCGTCTAATCCCTAAAAGTTCTATTTATTTATAAGCAAGAGCAGAGAATCTAAAATAAGTTATTATGAGAATTCCTCCCATCAAAGATATCCCTTAAGAAGTCCTACTATAATATAGATTTCTATTGACTAATATCTATCATCAAAATTTAATTAGTTCTATTATAAATCTTATCCGATTATAGAGCCACATAATCTAACACTTCCCAACGATCCTGTGGATTGTGCACATCTTCACCCAACAAAAGAATTATGATAAAAGGACTACTATATTTGATGACAATTCACAACATATGCATACAAAACTTAGTATCAACGTCAGTTCATACCTGCTGATTAAAACATCACAATGCAAAATAGCAGCAGAACTAATCAAATCATATACTAGTCTTGGTGGGTGCTAACCTTAAATATATAGGAGTCCTTAGTGGGAGCTTAACCTTCGTTTCCAGCCTGGTATTAACTTCACGAAGACCAGGACAAAACACACACACACAATATATATATATATATATATATATATAAACCATTCCTGGTGCAACAATGCATCCACAAAGAGCAAAAAGAAGAATTTTAAGAATGGTTTCAGATCCCTACATCATCCCTTGTAGAGCTTGGGTACAATTCTCTCTCAAGTCAATCAAATTTTAAAGAACAAGAATGAAATGCTTACAAATGTAAGGAGAACCAAAGGGTTAGCAAATGAATGTAGTTTAAACCTGTAAATGTTTTTCTTCACTCAGTAGTAGTTGCATAATCATAATCAGCCGGATTATCTTCAACTGGTATCAGGGAGTCTGGGGTATAATGTATCTGTAGTGGCATCATACAAACATATGAGAATCACATCTTTACTAGCATACAGGTTGCTTTATCATTATTAAAACAAATTGCTGGATATTAAATAAACAGTAGATATTGTACCAAAATAAGATCATATTTGATAAATAAAATAATATCAATTAACTGAACACAATTTATGATTTTATGACCAAAAATGGCATGGATTCTTGCACTTCGAGAGCTTTAGTAAACATGTCTATTTCCAAGATGTATTTACTTTGTGATTGTTCAGGGCATGGGGTGGGTTCTACTTCCAAATAGGACCAACCTACTTCCTGGCCAGTGGGCTCAGACCCCAAGGTGGCATTGCAGGTCTGTTTAGGATATTTGTTAGTTATGATATCACACCGATGGCTCTTTTCAGTTTTTCAAAAACCAGCTCAATGATTCGAATATTCTGGAACATTTCTCATTCTGTTCCTTAAAGAGTTATGCTCCAGAAATCATGTAGATGACATGACATACCACCAAACCTCACAGAAAGGTGAAAGAAAATATGGAAGAGAAATCCTTGAACAAAAGAAAACAACAATGAGTTGCTAAAATCATCTGACAGTAGACTAATGAAGTCAAGAAAGTAATTATTACAAATAGTCATTTTATACATGTAGCATTAATGAAAAACTTACAGTAATTCTCAAGGTATGTATTGGTTGAAAGAAAACCGAATAGCTACTATGCAAAAACAAAGTCATGATGCATTTTCACTATAAACTAGAAGTTGGAGAGAGATGCACACAGAATTGTTAAAAGCAAGGCTGATGACAAAAAAGACATAGATGCATAGAAATGTAAAGGATTCTGAAAAGAAAGCCAGACAAGACAGTCATTTTTAGAGGTTATTTGGTAACAATTACGTATATAACTGCTTTAGAACTATAGAAATAGTTTGTAGAAACTGATAGAATCTCCGCTGATAAAATTAGGTAAATGTCTTGGAAAAGATGAAATTACCAGGTATTATAGGAAGTTTTTCATAGATAAATGCTAAACTGATTATCAAATTTGAATATTAAAATCTTAAGAACTAAGGAAAAGCTCACAATAAGGAAGATGTAAAGATTTAAAAATATGAGAAAAAGTAGATATTTATAGTTGACAGCACCTATAATTGAATTGAAGCCAATAACATACTATGAACTTTGAAAGAGAGTGAATTAAAATATCTGGAAACCTGTATGGATTTGCCCCAAGAAAATTCAAAGATACCAATTTCCTTGCTAAAAATATGGAGTTAGAAAGAACAAGTTCTTATTCACATGTTACTAAGAGTTCACAGAAAAAAGTCAAAATTGTTTACTCATTAGACAAATTGATAATCATAAAAAAAAATCAGTGACGAAAAAATTACTAAGAACTATGGAATCACTACAGAGTTGTACTGACTGTCAGCTTCTTGCTTTACCTCTTTGCACTAGCAATTCAAGTACTTAAAAAGGCAATTCATTATAAATTAAGATAATTAAAAATCTTACTAATGTGGTGAAAAGTTGATTGTCTATTTGCATGTGTAGTTTGATGAGATTGAAACAGGATAAATAAGAAGACAGTGGATATTATTATCTAGAGCCCCATAACTCCCAACCATGCCGAACCAGGTACATGGAAGGTGGCAATTTCAGCTTATTCATTGTTTTGCTTGAGTGGTCCAAACTCCAAACACTACCTTTTAAATACCTGAACTATTTATGTTTTGGATATAAGGCCACAAACCAGTCAAATTATAAAATAAAAATACAAAAAGAAAAAGAGTGAACCATACTTGATGAGAAATCGTACATGTTGGGAAGTATGGGCAGCATATTAAAAAATAGCCCACTGGCCTTTAGTAGATTAAGAGATATATGGTAGAATAACAGTGATAGCCTCTGAAGAGGATTAAACAGAAACACAATCAGGTGGTATAGATCATCTCTCAGATTAGACAAATGGGGTAAAATAAACGAGGCTGTGCAATGTGATGAAAGTTGACTTCACATAAGCTCTGAACAAAGGGAAAGGACAGAGCTTATCTGGGAAGCTGTGACAACAAACAAAGAGAACACAAAATCCTTCAATAATTATTATCATCTAAAATTTGATCTTCCAAGCCATGAAAAACTAGAATTGGATTTATTAGTGAAGATAGTTTATAAGTGTTCATGGACTAATCTTCCAAGGTTCAAATTTTAAACCATGTCAAGCGTTATGTGTTCACTATTCTTTCTGACTAAAAAAGTTGAGCAGCTCCGACATGATATAAAATGTAGTAGCAAAATTCACTTGCAACACATGATTCTCTCTAAAGAATTGTACACTATAGTTGTCACCGACCTTAAACTTGGGAATTTCCTGGTGCAAGAACCACCACGGACCTGTTTTCCAATTTAATCTGCAAAATTGAGGACAAAGATAAAGCATTATTTGGCCAATTATATAAATTTTCTGATGGTGCAGAAAAGAGGACACATTTAACAGTGGAAAACGATGATAAATGGTCACATGATTTCAGGACCAAGGTCTGTCATACCGAATCGTACCGCCCGGTACAGGCCAACGGTACGCGAACCGCTCGCTACTGGTCCGACTGTAGCAGTGCACTGTAGCACTACAGTGCACTGTTGTAGTGCACTGTTATATTAGCAGTACAGTGCACCAGTAAACTGTAGCAGTGTAGCACTGCTACAGTGCTCGGTACACCTGGGTGTACCGAGCGGTATACCGTACCGTACCGGTACCGAGCCCGGGTCGAAACGCCGGTACGGTACGGTACGGCGAACCTTGATCAGAAGAATGTCAAGTTCTATCCAACAACTATATGTTTCAAATTGTAAAACTACAGAGAATGTGTGAGGCAAGAAAAGCAATATCAAATCACTGAATTAGAACTACAGGATGATACACCACAGAACTTGCATTTTCAGACCACATTCCCATGGAGGGTGTGGAAAGATCCATCTAGCTAACACAAAGTAGGCACAATATTGTTGGCATGTGTGGCATTTGCATGAGTACAAAATTACAGTCAGGTGGGTGTGTGGGTGTGTGTGTGTGTGTGTGAGAAAGAAAGAGAGAGAGAGAGGCCTGCAAGGAACATACAAATAAAAGAAGATTTTAGCATCTATATAAAATTTGTTATGACGATTAGCATGATGGAATAATTGACCTATTAATTTTGTTGAGCCAAACCACTGACCAAAATACCTAAACTAAAGTTAAAGATAGTGCACCCATCAAACTCTTATAAGAGAATCTTAATTTTAGCCCACTTATGATGTGGGACTAATTAAGCGTAGTACAGTCAAGATCAAACCCTAGCATGATGCATGTGAAGCACAGCTCAATGATAGCTCCAATCCGACCTATTAATTTCGTTGAGCCCAAATCACTAGCCAAAATGCCTAAGCTAAAATTAAGTACACTCATTAGACCCTTAGGTCAATCTTAATCTTAGCCCATTTCTAATGTAAGACTAATCAGGGTGTTACATTTGGAGTGAAGGCTGGAGCTCATAAGCTAAAGCCCTACAGCAGAACTGTTTTCCTATCAGCAAGATTAAGCAACCTGACCAAACAATTTAATAGCAGTTTTACATTAAAACTTCTTCATAAATGAGCAGCTGTCATATCATATTTTCAGTCACATATTAAGCAACAGATCTATGGCAGACCTTGAAACTAAAATCATGTGAAGATGAAAAATGACAGCCAAATCAACACTGACAAATTTTTTTACCTAAAAAATCCTGCCATCATCCGCAAGCCCATGAAAAGGGTCAAGCCAGACCAAACTCCTGCAAGTCCAAATACAGATGGAGCAAACAACAAAAATGCAGAAGACATAGCCCCAACCACCATCTGCAAAAAAAATAACGTCGATTTTAAAAATGAGCATAAGCTGAAACCACATTTGATGCCAACATCTCGAAAAATGCATCATACCATTGACCACGCGGAATATGCAAAATCGGAAACACCATAATGGAGGCCATCAAAGATAAATGCAAGAGCATTGACGGGTTGAGTCACACTGACAAACTTAAATCAATTGAAAAAAATTAACACAGACACATAGAGACAAGCATACTCCATTCTGCTATCACATTCGTACCAATGCACCAGTCCTAACAATCTGTAGCACTCCAGCATCTTTGGTGAATAGTTCCGCAAGATTACCAAATGATGCACCTAGGACTATTGTTAATGCTATGCCGGTAAATAGCCCTGCCTGGTTGGAAAAATATATAGTTAAAATTCTTTTACCACAAACAAGAAAAAATCCAATAGTTCATAAAGAAAGTATAGTTGCAAACTGTCTTGCTACAGTGACATAAATTGATCAAATTTTGGCAAATACAATGGTAGTGTTAATTACATTTCAAGTTAAAATAAGAACCTCATGATCAACGAAATAAATAATTAATTACCTTTAAGACATAGTATGTAACTTGTTTCACTCTGTCATAGTCACATTTTGCAGAAGAGCTGGCAATCAATGCCTAGCAATGAACAAGAAAACCAAAGAAAATAGAATGAGTAATATTCAGTAATGCATAGAGATACAAATAAGAGTTAAAATTTGTAATTTAGAGAAAACAAATGTAAAAATGATAAACCATCCATGTTAAAGGAACATAGAGATTACAGAAAACACATTAAGCAATCCTAAGAGTATATCTATTGTTTTCTTCTACACAATCACATACCACCAAATACATTTGTTTGTCTCTGCAAGAGAGAGCATCGAAGGGGCTGACTCGTAGCCTATGCACAAAACAAGGTAACTGCAAGCTTTATCACCCAATTTTGCAATTAAAAAAAGGAAATTCCAAATATGCTACAACGAAAAAACAAGCTAACAAAAAGCCAGCAGGTGTGAGGTAAAGAGCATCTGATATCGTCACAAGTGATCAATCAAGGAACATAATTATGATTTCTGTTGTATTTATTACATTTGAAATTGGAAAAATGAAGAGCACACCACATGCACTTATCAACTTCCGGTCCTGTTGTAGCACATAGAGACCCTATTTTTTTTTATAAAAAAAAAGTACACCCCACCCATCTATTCAGAAAAGGTAATGTCCACTTATATGTGAATAGAAATGAGATTTCTGGTTTTCACTTTGTCAGCACCCTAGCTCAAGCAGGCTAAGTGATCTAACTAGATATCTAGTTTTTCAAGAGGTTTGCATGAAGATATTTGTACACTTGCACATAAAAAAAGTATGTTGGTCATACTCCTATTTCAAGCATCTCTTCTGTGGCAACCAGTCTCATGTATATCTCCTGTAATATTAGTGATCAGTATAATATGTTGTTTGCCACTATGTAGTATGTAGGTTATGATTAACATTTAACACCCTAACAACAGAGATGCTTTAGTATCAGTCTATAAGTATCCATTTTGGAAGTTGGAGGTTATTCATCATATAGACTGCCTCCTTGATGCATCTTATCCTGGCTTATAAGACTGGATTTTCTAATGACATGCTGATTATGTCCCCAAATCCCTACTGCTTAGTTAGCATTAATTTACCAGACTACTACTAGCTAGGATGCAACAATGTAAATGGCTTTCTTCCCTTTTCCATAATTGTCAACATCATGGTAGTCAACAAACAACACCATCCTTTGAACCAATCAAGACAGAACTTGACTTAACTCTAATTAGCATGTTGTTGTTCTTCATTCAACCCTGTGAAGCAATTGAAAATGTAACTTGTCTTTCAAAACACCCCTAGCACAAAAACCAGCACCTGCTATTTTGCAAATTGATCCACTATATTGCAGGAAGTTGCCCATCGTATACAGACAATCATCTAAATTATGTACTCATCATTCTTTAAGTAGTTGCAAAATTAGTCTAGCATTACGATCATCCCCTGTAACTCGGTTGCCAAACAAATCCTTACTCTGCCTCATGGTGCAACAAAATAATAATTGCACAATCATTGAATATCCACTCACACCAGCACAAATTGAATTCTCATCTGATGAATAGTCCAATCTATCATTTTCTAGCTAGGCATACAGTTAAAATTCTGATCTGATGCATTCAGATGTAAACTAGATAATTCTTTTTTAGGCTAAAGGAAAAGGGTCATATTGCTGTATTGATGTGCACAAAACAAGGGTTGGTCAGGAGATGACATGTTTAAAATATTAACTGAAAGAATGAAATGACAATTGAATTCACTGAGCAGCATACCTGAGCAGAAACAGCCAATGCATCTGAAAGTAGAGATACAGCCAACCATACTTGCAAACATATTTGATGAGCAGCCATTGCTAAAGGCCCTTGTCTAGCAGCCATTGATGTGCCAAGGGTCATAGTGATCAGGACAGAAAGTGTTCTTCCAAGGAGAAATCCCCCTGAGTAAAATTTAAAATAATCTTTTAAGAATTTCACATTGTTTCTGAGACATTCAACTACCTAAGATGGTCCTGTGAAGAATATTTTCATCTCCAATCTAAATTACAATCCTAGTCTCCAACATATATTACTTCTGTTCCAATCTTAACTGCAAGAAAGATGAGAAACATCTGCCACTAAAATAAGTACAAAAGATTAAAGAGACAAATGGCTACAGAAAAAAGTTCTCAAGCTATCCAAATTAATAAAACAAACTAAGATCCTAAACCTAGATAGACACTCAACATATGCAGTTCTTTGATCACCTAAACCTTAATTCCCTAATGAAATTACTGCATAGAAGGTTTTAAGCAATTTAAAGTAGTCAAAGGGACCTAAGATCTTAAAGCTAGATATAAGTTCAAATATATAACCAGTAATTTGATCAATGAGAAAACGCTCTCCTCCATATTGACTGTACATCTCTTCCTAACAGGGATGAACTTTTGACACAAATTCAGAAGCACAACCTAACCTTACTTGAAATGTCTTTTTTTGATGAGTGGCCTTGTCCTCAAGTTACACCCTGGTCATCAAAATTTGGCCCAAAAATAAATTGTTGCAACACAGTCTTTAGATCCAGACTCAGCAGTCAAATTTAATCCATTAAAAGTATGAGAGAAGAAAAGAAGATATGCAAGGAGCTCCAAAGTCGGGATCTTCAGCTTTCAGAATTCTTTGGTTTTAAGCAAGGATTTTAATTTCGAATGATACGCGGACCGGTACGCGGACCACTCGCTACCGTTGATTAGGGCTGTTTCCGCCGCGTTACCATCCGAAATCGGTCGATGACGATCTCCGTCACCACCCGCTACAGGTGGTATTAGCTGAAAGAAGAAGGATAAGAAAGGGGAGAACCTGAAGATCCGACGCCGCTCTCCCTCGACAATCCCGATTTGTCGTCGCCCTCCCTCGTCGGACGCCGCAGATGAGATGTTGCCTCCTCCTCGTCAGAGGTGATGAGGCCTCAGCGTTGTCGACGACTTCTCCTCATCCACACAGGAAAAAGAAGCCTTGGCAACGTCACAGGGAGAAGAAACCGAGCGTCGTCGGGAGAAGGAAACCTCGGTTTCTTCTCCCCATGCTATCACGAACGGTCGTCGCGCACCCGCAACAACTTCGTTCAACGAATCGTTTGTCGCTTTTGCATGCTTGTACAGAGACATGACAGCATGTTTTGTCTTGGTTTTGTGTGTTTTTGCTTGGAAAATGTAAGCAACGACAGTTCGCAGCGCTACAGTGCGACCGCTCACCGCGCTAGGCCAAACTGCCACAAAATGGCTCCGTTTTCACATGCCACGACTTGTTTTCTACTAACCGCAATTGCATGCGAAACGTCAACCATCTCAATACCCTAGAACCCCCTAGGTGGCATAGGACTGGATGGAGCTTTGGTATATTATCGGGCGTTGAACGATCTTCACAAGTTCGCACGTTAACGTGACGGGAACTTGCCTTCGTGCCCGGCACCCGATGAGCAGTTGTTTGTAGACGTGCAACTATTCATTCTACCTTCTAAAGTCCTTGAGTGCTCGCTGAATTGCTTATAAAGCTTCCCTCTTCGCGAGACGTCAGGACTTGTCTATCGTTCGTTTTCAATCTAATCAACTTTCTGTTTTACAGGTCCTTCGGGACTTGTACGAGGTTGCAAGTAGACTGACCCTTTGCGAATGCATATGTCGCAGGGGCGCCTCATGACTTAGGCAATCCCAGCTAAGTCCGAGGAGTTGGCGCAAGAGTGCTTCACGACTTAGGCAACTTCAACTAAGTCCGTGACTTTGCCACAACGGTGCCTCACGACTTAGGTAATTCTAGCTAAGTCCGTGACATTGTGGTATCAGAACGAGCAAGCAATTCGAGCAAGCAGCAGTGATTGCAAAAGGCGCTCGGGCGCTCGCCTAGGCGCTCGGGCGAGGCGAGGCGAGGCCCGAGCGCCTCGCTAATGTCCCAGGCGGCGCGCTTCAATCAGGCGCCGCCTGGGCGCTCGCCCGAGCCCAGGCGCTGGGCGCTTCGGGCGAGCGCCTGGGTAAACCGAACCAGAATTTTAGGTCTGGTTCGGTCCTGGTTCGGTTGTTAGTTGGTTCAATCGAACCAACTAAACCAATATAACCCCAACCCTAACCCTAACACTAACCCAACACTAACCTGTTGCCGCTGCCGATCCCGATCCCGATCCCGATCGCGATCTCGTCGCTCGCTGCCGCTGCTCGCCGCTGTCGCTGCTCGCGCCTCCCGCGAGCCCTCTCGTT